TTGACTTATTTCACTCAACATAATACCCTCTAGTTCCATCCACGTCGTTGCAAATGGCAAGATCTCATTCCTTTTGATGGCTGCATAATATGAGTAGAGCCATTTTTAACGATGAGGCCCCTGATGCAGAGAGGTTAAGCTTAACCCAACTGAGCCCCCACAGCTTGGAAGAGGCATGGCCCAGATTCAAACACAGGTGGACTCCCAGGCCAAGCTGACACCACAGCCCTTAGGGTTTTAGACAAAAGGTCTAAGTGCTCTAGATCTGTGGGTAGAGGCAGGCGGGGCTTGGGTTTCAGCCTGCTCACCATCTCCCCCTTTCCCCTATTGTTTGGTATGGACAATTGCGGTGTTCTCAAGCGTATGTAATGTACGTCCGTAACAAGTCATCAGTTCCACCTTCTAACCACAGTGCCCCTAGAAAACACCAGAGCCACCCCGATCTACGATGTATTAGTAATTCACTGCTGGGTAGGCCATGCACCCATACACACCCCCCAGCATACACTGTTTTACGTTTTGCATACGGTCCAAGTCAGAAACAACATCTGCATGCAGTTCTCAGCCGCCTCTGCTTCCTACTGCACTAGGGTCCCGTGCTCCCTGTGATTTGGCCTCGCGGCAAGGGTCACACGCACTGGCTGTGCCCTTTGCCTTTTCCTCTGGGGCCCAGTGAGTACAGCTCCACGGGGCTCCTGTCCTGTGACCAGCACCCAACCTCCAGAAGGGCAGAGGGCTGGAGAGGCCCCTGGCACAGTGGGGCGGGGGGCTTCCGGACCTGGAGGGAAGGGTCTGAGGCACTGCCTCTGGAAGGGTTATTGGGCAGGGCTGGCTTAGCTTAGCCCTCCCCCCGCCCCCCACCCCAGAAGCGGCTCTGGGGAGAAGGTGATAATGAGTGGGCCACTGGGGTCTGTCCTTCTGGGGACCCTCTGAGAACATGGGTAGAACACACCTCAGAATTGTCCCACTGAGAGTCTAGGAAGCTGGGGTCCCTGTGGATGGAAGGTTGATTGGGGTCCTTAACTCTCCTGGCTTCCAGCGCCCCCCTCTGGGAGCAGAGGCTCCTCCAAAGCCCTCAGGCAGAGCCAGGCAGCTAGCTGAGGTCAGAGGCCCTCAGTCCTGCCAGTGAACAGAACTAGTCACCAAAGATCTAAGTGCCTCTGGCATGGGCAAGGAACCAGCAGAGCCTGCCCCAGCGGTAGGAGTAGGAGGCACACCAGCCCGCAGTGTTCCAGTCCTGGGACTGCTGGTCGGCCTTTCCTGACCTCTTGGGGCCCCAGTCCTCTGGCCTCCCTGCCTCTGCTGCTGGGACCTCTGCAGTGGGAGCCACAACCATCTCTTTGACCCAACCTCACCAGGTATCTCCCAGCCCTCCTGGGAAGTCCATCCTTGCATCCCTCCTGTGGCCTTCCTGCTGCAGCTGAATCCCAGCTGCCCTGCGTGACCCCTCCCTCCCTCTACCCCTAGGTATATGTGTTCCTCTGTGCTGCAGAGAGCCCTGGCCGCCCCCCTCGTCTGGATCCTCCTGGCCCTCCTGGACGGGAAGTGCTTTGTGTGTGCCTTCAGCAGATCCGTGGACCCCGAAAAGTTTCTGGATTTTGCCAACATGACCCCCAGCCAGGTGCAGCTCTTCCTGGCCAAGGTGCCGTGCCAGGAGGATGAGCTGGTCAGGGACAGCCCCGCGAGAAAGGCAGTGTCCCGCTACCTATGGTGCCTGTCACAGGTAATTCGGGTGGTTCTCTCCCAGCCTGGAAAATCTCCTGCTTGGTTCCGAGGGGCGTGGGGTGAGGAGGTACAGATGGTTTCCTGGGGCCCCTCCCCACTGCTGGAAACACAGCCAAGGAGCAGGTGGTCCCTGGAAGGCTCAGGAGCATGATCCACATACAGGACACTTTACCTTCAACACTTCAGCTAAGTCACCCCAGGGCGGAGACCAGGTGCCCATACCCTCCAGGAGCAGCTACTTCCATCCCCAGGAAGCTAGAGGACAAAAGCTCTGGAGATACACTGCTCTGTCCTGTCCCCCACCCCATACGCACATTCTTGGCACCTCTCAGAAATAATACTCATTACCATTAATTGAGCACTTATGTGTCAGGCACTGTGTTAAGCATTTCATATGCATCACTTCATTTATTCTCAGAACAACCCTGTGAGGTGGGTACAATCATTATCATACCATTTTGCAGATAAGGAAACTGAGGTCCTGAGAGTTTAGTTCAGAGGCCCAAGTTGCACAGCTCATAAGAGGCCGGGCAGGGATCTGAAGTGTCATCACTCAAGCCCTCTGAACCACCTCCCTGCAATGCAGGTCCTCCCCAGACCCCTGGCTCCCCACACTGGCACCCACTCCATCACCCTGGGGGCAGACTCCAGCCCCACCCCTAGCCCAGACTCCAGATTCCTCCCAGAGCCCCAGTTGGGGCTGGATCCCCCCAAAAGCATTTATATCAACCTACCACATGCAGAGCATGCTGGGGCGACAGGAAATAAAAACACAACCCAGCCCTTTGTGGGAGCCAAGACAAACTCGTGGCGGATGCAGGCCCGTGTGATTGAGAGAGGACCAGTGCTTAGGACACATTTGATTCTGGGTCAGACTCTGCCTTGGCCACATTACTCCCCCTCTGGGTCTCAGCCTCTCCTAAAAATCAAGGGAGGTTTGGTCTCCTCCACATGGAAGGGCCCTGCAGGCTTAAACTCTCTGGGCTCTCGTTCGTGCACTAGAAAGAGTGTAGAAGCTTCAGTCACACCAGGGTTTGTGTCCTGACTCAGATGGAGGTTATCAGGCACATAAAATGCTCTTCATGTGTAAAACACTCACTCGACTATTTTAAATTGGTAAGAGGAAGGGGGCATCCTGAGAGAGGCCAATGAGAGAACTTTGTAAACCACATCTACAAATGACAAGCGTTCAAATATGTCTTTGTGGCTTAGAGGACTGATTTCTCTGCCCCAGGAGCACACAGTTGCTCTGGTCTTAAGCACAGCCTTGGAGAGACTAAAACTTTGGGTGGGCAGAGAGGAGGGAGAGGTGTCGGGCAGGTGTGGGCTCTAGACTCAGGGAAGTCTTCAAGTCTTTCTTCATGCTTGGCCTGGAAGACTGTTCCCTATTTATATCCTATATAACTATTACTCATCCTTCAGTGCTCAGCATCCACCTCACTGTTCCCTGAGCCTTCAAGTTCAGCTTGGGTGTCCCTCCTCTGTATTCCCATAATCCCCTAGACATCCCTCAACATGGCATTCAGCCAGTCTATCACTAATCTCATTGTTTCCTCCACTAAAGTGTGAGTTCTATGAGTCCCCAGTGCCTCTCCCAAAATATAGGACAGATGGCTTCATAGATGGGATTCATAAGCCCGTGTGAAGGTAGCTGAAGGACTAGATAAAAAAACAAAAGGATGATGCCTGGATGGAAGGATGGATGGATGGATGGATGATGGGTAGGTGGGTGGATGGATGGATGGATGGATGGATGATGGGTGAGTGGGTGGATGGGTGCGTGGGTGGAATGTAAGGTTTAGGTTTTCAGCTGAGACTCTAACAACAATGTTAACAGGAGAAAAACAGTTTCTTAATGGGCACAGTACACATCATGTGGGAAAAACCTGAAACAAAGAAAGAGTAACTCAAAGTGGTGGCTTAGAACTGCAACTTATTTGCCATCTTCAAAAAGAGCAATACCTTTGTAGAGCAATGGCAGGGCAAAGGAGAGCAGTGTTAGTCTCCAAGGGCAGAAACTGTGGGAGGTCAATAAATGACCGGACACTAATAGAGTAAGGTTTTTCGGCAGATTCCTCTGGTGCTGTCTCTGGGCTGATAAGAGTTGTCTCCCAGTAAAAAGAGAATGTATTTCCTGCCTTTAGGCACAAAAGGGGAGGGTAAAGAGAGCTGTTCCTATGGTTGCCGCTTCTTGTCTTCCATTCAAGATAATTTTGATGTCAAAGAGGCATATTCTGGGGTGACGTATTCTGGTTTCCTTCAGGAGGAAGGTTGGGAGGATGAATGGTGGGTGGGTGAGTGGATAGATAAATGGAAGACAGGACAGGAGTATGGGAACAGGATTGGATGGGTAGGAGGATGTATGATGGACGGTCGGAAGGTCTGCAGCGAGGATGGCTGGATGGGACACTGATAGATACGTAGTCAGGTGAGAGGACAGATGGCTGGATGGATGGGTGGAGAAGTAGTTGGACAGATGGATGGATGCAAGGATGAGACTGAATGCAAGCGAGGATGGGTGGAGGTGGTTGGTAGGATGGATGACTCAATGGGAACATGGATAGATTTGGGGAGAGATGAGAGGGCTAAGTAAAGGGAGAGGCCTTGGAACACCCTTGCCATGCTGTTTAGCACCCGACCTCACCCACACCCAACCTGGTACTCCCACCCCTACCCACCCCCCCCAGGCCATCGGCTGGAGCATCACCCTGCTACTGATCGTCGTGGCCTTCCTGGCCCGCTGCCTGAGGCCTTGCCTCGACCAGACGGTCTTCCCGCAGCGCAGATACTGGAGCAACTACGTGGACCTGGAGCAGAAGCTCCTCGACGAGACGTGCTGTGAGCATGCGCGGGACTTCGCGCACCGCTGCGTGCCGCACTTCTTCGCCAGCGTGCAGAGCGAGATGCGGGCGCGGGGGCTGAGGCGGGACCCCTCGGGCAGGGGCCCCGAGCCACCCGAGATGCCCGACGACCTGGACGGCGGCGGAAGCAGGAAGGCCCACCTGCGGGCGGTTTCCAGTCGGGAGCAGGTGGACCGCCTCCTGAGCACGTGGTACTCCAGCAAACCGCCACGCGACCTCGTGGCATCCCCGGGGCCCTGGGCGTGTGGCCTCAACCACCGCGCTCCCACGGTGGCCCCAGGCACCAGGCTGTCCCAGCATACTGACGTGTAGGGACCCCAGCAGTGTCCCCACATGAAATAACCAGGCTTACAACGGTCTGGGGGCTTTCCAGGCTGTGGGGATCCCGAGGCAGGGCAACCTAACCCTTGCTGGCCTCCTTCCTCTAAATAGCCCAATCTCTGGGGCGCCTGGGTGGCTCGGTCGGTTAAGTGGCTGCCTTCGGCTCAGGTCATGATGCTGGGGTCCTGGGATGGAGCCCCACATCAGGCTCCGTGCTCAGCAGGGAGCCTGCTTCTCCTTCTCCCTCTGCCTGCCACTCTGCCTACTTGTGTTCTCTCTCTCTGTCAAATAAGTAAATAAAATCTTAAAAAAAAAAAAAATAGCCCAATCTCTGGCCTAGTTTCAGGGTGTGGCCTCCGGTGCACTCTAAAGCAGTGCTTTGCAAACTTTAGGGTGCTCACTGTTCACCTGAGCTCTTGTTCAATGCAGATTCTGATTGGGTGCATCTAGGATTGGGTCCATGATTGCATTTCTGTCAGGGTCCCAGGTGATACTGAACTTATGAACTAGCAAGAGTCTAAGATCTGCCGTGGATTCTGGATCCTAGATATACAGATTCTAAATTTCAAATAATAATAATATAATAACATCTAATATGCTTCAGTGGTGCTTACTACATGCCAGGCATTGTTCTAAGGTCTTTACAGATATAACTCATTTAATCCTCATGATAACCTAATGAAATAGGATGATTATTAGACCCATTTTAGAGGAGAAAACTGAGGCCGAAAGAGGTTGAGCTGCCCGAGGTCACCCATGTGGGAGCTGGAATTTGATCCCAGGAGGTCTGGCTGCTACATAAGTCTAAGCTGCTATATGCCTAGGCCCTCTAGAGAGTTTGTGTATTGGTTTTCAGTGCTCTGGTTGGGTTTCCTGCAGCTTCCACCAGGTTTCTCTGGGCAGCTCCAGGTGTGTGGCATATGGACCAGATCTGAAAATCGGGGCAGGCAACCCCCACACTGAACTAGCACCCCAGGTGATTTGATAAGTTCCAATGTGGTTTGTTTTAAGATTGATTTATTTGTTTCAGAGAGAGAGAGAGAGAGAGCGGGAGAGGGTGGAGGGGCAGAGGGAGAGGGAGAGAGAATCTTCAAGCCGACTCTGTGCTAAGCACGGAGCCCGATACGGGGCTCGATCCCATGACCCTGAGATCTGAAACCAAGAGCCCAGTGCTTAACCAACTGTGCCACCCAGGCACCCCTGATAAGTTCCAGTGTTTAAGAACCTCTGCGCAAAGTGTGAGTGTGGGGTCTGGCTAGGAAGGAAACCACTTGAAACACCAGGGTTAAGTCTTGCTGGAAGAACTGCCACTCAGTCTTTGGCAGCCCAAACAGGAAAGGTTGGGAAGATCTAGCCTCTGAGCTCCTCTGAGCCTCCACCCCTCCGTGGTGACTGTCACCATACACACGTGCACACTCACACATACATACACATCCTGCTCTTGTCTCCATCAGCACAGATGGTGACCACAGACAGGCAAACCTGAATTCCCCCCATGCATTTCTGGTCCTCAGGGCCCAGGTAGGGGGCAGTGCAGGGGCCCCTAGTTGCCCCCCTGGAGCCCAGTCCCCTCCCTATCAGGCAATCTCTGCTCTCCTGAGCTCTTGCCAAAAGACCTTCTGGCCAGACAACCCTTGCAGCCCATGCAAATGTTTGAAGTGGAGCAGGGATTGGGTGGGGAAGAAGGAGAGAGATCTTAGACGTAGCCCATTCAGCACAGGGGAGCTCTCAGCTCAGGGGAAGGGGGCTCAGGGGCCCCACTTCGGGCTGCAGGGAAGCAGCATTTGGCCCAGGAAAAAGCCACCAACTGCAGTCAATAGCCCTGCCTTCTTGTACTGAGCACTTATGAAGCACCTAGTGTGTAGAAAGCATCGTGCCAGGGAATAGGGAAGAGAGAATACACAGATGATATACCCTGCCCTCAAGGAGCTCACTGTCTGATACAGGGACAGAGGTGGGTACAGAAACAATTATAATCCAAAGCAAAAGATATAAGTGAGACGATAGAGGCAAGCCAGGTGCCACAAAGATTTAGCAAGGAGAAGAATGGCTCCAAGCTGGGGGATCAGGGAAGGCTTCATTTGAATGGGTCTGGAAGGAGGGGGAGGGCTCTGACTAGTGGATAGAGAGATGGGGGTGGGGCCGCAGGGCACCTACAGCGAGGGAACAGCAAAAACAAAGGCAAAGGACAGTGTATGTGTCACTTATTCATTCAGCAAATATTGATGGAATGTCTGGAGTGGCAGAGAGTAGGACAGACACACGGACAAAAGTTCTGTCTTAATGGCACTTCCAGTCTGGAAGGGAGATACGACATGAGCTAGTGAGCACACAGCCAAATGGAAGGGTGTGCCATTCAGCCTGGCAAAAGTGAAGGACCTTGGCTAGGGGGCTGAGGAGCCCACTCCCAGTGAGTCCCACCAAGAGTTGCTCCCTGAGCCCTGCATCCAGTGGCACATCTTCTGGATTGTCAGCCCTTGACAGCCCTCAAATGTGTCCCTATCCTCTTCAGTCGCCAAATGATGTGGTTTCAAACTCCAACCTCTTTGCCATTGTCCATCCACCATTTGCTCATATCCCATGAGAGGCCTGGGGCAGTGCTTGCCACCCCACCAGGGAGTGAGGGACACGGCTGGAAGGCTTCCACCTGCTCCCAAAGACCCTCACCTCCCAGGACAGCAGCCATCATGGGTGCCCAAGCCCATTCCCCCAGCCCCAGCCAACTCTGGGTGATAGCCCTCCTGAGCACACCTTGTACATAGGGCCTCTCTCCTGGGAGACACAGTGGCAGAAATGTACTAGAAGCTGCCTGGACAACGGCAGTTCTGCACGAGAAGGGGAAGATGGCAGGAGTCTTGGGGGTTTAGGTCAGGACTTTGGCTTGATCCTGCAGGCAGCTAGACATGAGAGCCAAGAGTGTGTGAGCAACGTCAGGGGGAAGGACATGGCAGTGATGTTTTGACGCTGCAGAAATGGGCAGGGCCAGAAAGAGAAAGAGAGAGGCTTGAGTGAGAAGAGGAAGGAGCAAGACCTTTAGAGCTTTGGAGGAGAAAGCGGGGGCGGTAAATGAGAGAAAGAGGAAAAATCACAGAGGAAGAGTCCAGAAAAATGCCAGGGACGAGGGAATTTCAGGATGGGGGAAGGATAAGCAATAAATCCAGAGCTTCAGAGAGACCCAGGAGTAGGAGGAACTGAGGGAAAATCATTGGGTTTTGGTAACTGTCCAGGGCAGGGGACTGCTCACAAAGGGAGGTGTCCTGGTGAAGCAGATGGGTGGGTTTCTGTAGGATTCTTATAAATCCCTGGTCATGTGTCCCCCCACCCACCCACACACACCCAGGGTTATAAAGAACAGGTGGGAGGTTTGGAGCCTGCCCCTGTTTTAGGATACTGATATGGGAGGGATCTTGAGCACCCCTGTTTAGGGAAAGGCACCAGGACCCAAAAAGTACGATGAGAACAGAGGAATCATGTCCAACTAACACACTTCCACTGCCCGGGTCTCATAGAAGGTAAAGGAGTTCTCTGCTGAGAGTCCAGCTCTGCCCAGCTCTTTGGGGCCAAATGAAATTATCTCCCCTTGTCTCTACTTGATGTGCTCTGCAGGGGAAGGGCAGAGAGGGCTGTAGAATAGGGAGAGTATCCCTGAAGGTCTAGAGAAGAGCAATGGGAGATGGTCTGGGGTAGAAGGGCAATGGGAGATGGTCTGGGGTTGCAGAGCAGAGGTGACATTCGTTGTTACCATGGTAATGAGCTTTGAATGGGCACCAGCCCCTCCTGCCCACCCCTCCCACCCAGGCGCCCTTCACATAAAGGAGGAACCCGCTCTCAGTCCTCCCCACTCTGCTCACAGAATCTAACCCCGGCAGCAAGCCCAGAGCCAGGGTGGCAGGACTGTCTCCTCTTTGTGTCTGAATTCCTGCCTCCTCTCAAAGTTATCTTGATCCAAGGCTCTTTTTCCCCTTATTCACTTATTCATGTATTTATTCATTCAGCACTTATTAACTGAGCATCTACTAAACCAGCCACACTGGGCCAAGCATTGGGAACCCAGCAGTGAACAAAAGAGGTGTGGGCCTTTGACATTTATGGTCCAATGAGAGCCCCTGATCGTAAATAAACACACCCCTCCAAAACAAGGAATTCAAATTGTCATCAGTGCTGGGAAAGGGAAGTACATCCCGGGGGCTATGAAAGCCTGTGTCAACAGAACTGTCCAAGCTAAGGGTTCCGGAACCTCTCTACAGACGGACCATTAAGTTGAGGTCTTAAGGATACAGGAAGGCACACAGCACATGCAAAGATTCTGAGATGGGGAGGGGTTTATCCTGTTTGAGGAACTGCAAGCGGGCAACTGAGCTAGAGAGTAGATATTGGGAGCAGAATGGCCCCGGGGAGCTGGCTCTCACATGGGCATATAGAACCTGTTAAGGATTTTTTTTACTTCAACCATTGAAGGAAATTAAGAATGTGGTCATATAATCAGATGTCCACTCTTAAAAGATCACACCGTCTGCAGCCTGGGAGGAGTTTGATAGGGGCCAGTGTGCACTGCAGAAGGAGGCAAGAGCTAGTGGAACCAGGATTAGGGTGAAGATGGACAGAAATAGTAGGTTAGAAGTATCTAGAACTCTGGGTGTTCTTGTTTGTCAGTGTCCTGCTTAAAATGTAATGCATAGAACAGACCACCATTAGGTTAGACCGGGATGTAAAAATAAAATGCAGTCAACATCAAACCAAAATGTCAGTCCCTTAACACAACAAAGATGTATTTCTCACTCAGGCCAAGTCTGAGGTAGGTAAACAGGGAAGGGAGGGCAAGAGGAGAGGAGGAAGGCTCCTCTGGTTACCTGGGGACCCAACTGACGGAGACTCCCCCCATCTTGGGATGCCACCATCAAGACACATCGTATTCTCCAGATCCTGAGACAAGGAAGTGAATGCAAGTAGTTTACGTGGAAGCTGCTCCCAGGAAACACCAAAAAAGGAAC